GACTGCTGGATATGGGCACCAGTGAACCACGCAACCCTGAAAAGGAAGAAGCGTGTACAGAAAATGGATGGATGGATGGATTTATTAATACTGTATTAATTACATTATTTATTTATTTATTTATTGTATTTTGAATAAAACGGCTCTCCATAAGTATGGAGACATACATATAGAGATTGCATATTTTAGTTTTATTTTGTGTCACTTTTATTTTGTAAAGCTACTTTACATATTTCAGGGACTTTTTTATTTTGATTTTATTTTAGCTACACAGCTGCTGTAAAAAATGTATGTTTTGCCACTGTTGCACAGTGCTGTTTAAGTTATGTAAATTGTGTGTATCCTGCCATCATTGCAATACCCCTGTTTTATTTTTTATTCATTGGTTATTGTTTGGTTTGTATTTGTTATGAATGTTGTTTTTAATGCTTTTAATCTGGAACTTGTCACAAACCAGTCTCCCTCAGTGGATCAGTGAAGTATCTTTCTAAGTATTTATTTTTAGCTACTTATAGCTTTTGTTGCTTTTAGCCTTGTCAACTAGTTTCARTATTTTTATCAGTGAAGTTAGCATTCACACTGCGTTTGGTCTAGTTGTGTATCTGTGTGTTTTCAGGGCCTGTTTATGTGTCCAGCAGGAAGTATCTCCTGTTAGGGTTGGATGTTAGAGACGAGTCCCAGTTGGAGGAAGCTCTGGGTGCAGCTGGGCTGGACTGGGCTGCACCCACCCTAATTCTTTCTGAAGTGGTGCTCACCTACATGGAAACACAGCGGTACAGTTGATACAGTGCATGTACACAGAGAGAGAACCATATTTATACACGGAGGTTTCATCACATCACTCTGCGGCTGCTGTTTCTTCAGGTCGGATGCTGTGATCAGCTGGGCAGCAGAGCACCTGCCACAGTCTCTCTTTGTGATGTACGAGCAGATTCGTCCGCACGATCCATTCGGTCGCATCATGCAGGAGCATTTTGTGAAGCTGAACTCAGCCCTGCACGGCCTGCAGCAGTACCCCGATACGTCYGCACAGAGACGCAGGTTCCTTGACAAGGCCAGTACAAAAACACACTTTACACATCTGACTGCATGACTCATTCTGCAACTAGAGCTGCTGCTTTTCAGCAGAGACACTTTTATACAAACTGAATACACCTGTCCACTGGAGCTAAGGCCTGCGTCACACGGCAAAATTTTAAAACTGTCGGCTGATTTTCAAAGACTGATAGAGCTCACATATGAGGATCAAAAATCATGGATATAACAGGTTTGGTCCTACAGCAGGGTTATTCAACTAAACTGCTCCGGGGGCCACAGTTACCGGTCAACAGCTGAGGGCCGAACATCCAGCAATTAAAGTTATTATGTAAATAAACYAAGTATTACAAAGATATGTTACCTTTGAATTAGTTTAATTTGCTGCATTTAATCATGAGTACAACATACAGAACCCTATAAAAGTAGTGATACTTAAACATTATCAAAAACAAAAAAACACATTATACCCCCTTTTTGACACAAATAATATTTTAACATCTCTGACTTGCCAAATTTTTAAACCAATTTTATTTTCACTTTCATCATTTTATCTTCAACTGCTYGTAGTTTTAACTGGCTTGAGTGTTCATAGAAATGGTTTTTACCAGCTTATAACCAAGGTTCTGACGTTTCTGTAGACACCAAACATGTCTATGTTTATCTAAAAAACTTAGAGTAATTTAAGTAGAAAATCGGGGGTTTGGGCTTAAGAGATGAATGAACCAATTGGCGGGCCGAACTTTGGTCACTCGTGGGCCAGATGTGGCCCGCAGGCCACCAATTCAATAGCCCTGTCCTACAGTGTGTGMTGTACAGCCACACAGCAAGAGACAACACACCACACACAGACAGATATTTAATTTATGAACATTCAGATGTCAGATGTAAAATCATGAGAGACTTCCTGAAATCTTGTGAGAATTCAGATATCACAGGCATTATCTCGCGTGACCTTCAGAGAGACGTGAGTTCAGAGTAAATAAACATTTGAGACGAGGAAGAAACAACATTGATCATTTGTGGACTATTTTTAACTGAGAAAAAAATCATTCAAATTGACCTTTAACGTCAAGCAGACTTTCTGGTGAGTCATGACAGTTTTTATGTCTTGGGTAATTTGGATTCCCCTCCGTGTTTACGTCACCTCACCTTCTGATTGTCTCATGACATCTCTCTGACATGTCTCATTCAACAGGCTGAGAGCTCATTTGTTCTCAGGTGAACACCACACGCTGTGATATCAGGACAAAAATCAAAGATGTCAAATATCCCCAATTTGAGGTCGGAGCAGTCCCGATGTCCTTCTGAGCTGACTAGATCACTCTTAAAGGGCCAATATTATATGTTTCTCAGGCATATATTTAAATACTATACCATAATAAAGTAACTCTGGCTTCGTTCACACTGCAGGCAAATCCGACCCAAATCTGATTTTTTTGACCCATCTGACTCATATCCGATTTTTTTAT